GAGTGGGATGGAGTCATTTGTGGGGGCAGAATTTCGGCCTGTGGGGTCCCTCCGTGTCCACAATCGACGAAGGGAGGCGAGACGAAGGGCGGTGGTGCAACGGAAACACGGCCGCGTTGCCCGCGACCCTTCGCCTTTCGTCTCGCCCGCCGCGATGACCCTGCGCTTTTCGTGTCTTTTGGTGGAGCTTGGAAATGACCCTCGGCTAGCCTTCGCGCTGCGTTTGTGCTGCCGTCCACCCCGCGTGACACGTGTTTATAAGGACGCGGGCGTTCTGCGCAAATGCACTAGAGCACTCTCTCTCTCTACCTCACGCAGTCCCCGCCGCCCGCCGCGCTTGTTCTGCTTTTGGTCGCAGCCGTCTTCGCCACTCGAGTCGCCTTCGTAGCCTGCATCCGCGCCTTCGTCGACATCGTCGCCATCGAGGCTTTTTGTTCAACATCGCCACCGTCATCGCCATCGTCGCCGCGTCCATCGCCAACGTAGTTATCTTCACTGCTTGCGTCGTCTTTGCAGTCGTCTTCGGCGACATTCTCCTCGGCGAGCACGTGTTTTCGCCCGTCGTCTTCACCGCCATCGTCGCGTTTCCAAAGGTCGTCGCCTTCGTCGTCCAGATTGTCATCGTCACCGCGGGTGCGTCTTGCGCCATGTCCTCACGCGGTTCCGCACGCGGCAAGGCCGCCGCCAACCTCACACAACAACCGCCGACTCGGGAGAAGAAGGGCCGCCACATGGCCAGCAAGAAGAGGAAGATCCTCGAAGGCGCCCCGGCACATGGAGGTTACGTGCTGGATGAAGAGTGGGTGCCGGAGGACGTGGCGACGCAGGAGGGGACGGATTTTGAAGACTCTGACGACATGCCGTTGCAGCGGAAGTCGTCCAAGCGGGGGAGTGGCGGCGTCCGCATAGACGACGAGCAGGAGGGCGGCCAGCACCGGAAGACGTCCTCGACGTTGACGCCGCGACGACAGCCAGAGAGGGCGGGGGAAATCGCGCGCCACTGCCACGTATGACTCCACCAACCGACGCGCAAGAGGGCGTGGTTCGCTTACGGACACCGCTCACACCACGCTCGGGGATCGCACACGGCGGAAGTGGCGAGGGCAGGCGGGGCAGCAGCGGGGGGGGGG